ATTAGCTTGTAAAATGGATTCTGTGAGAGATACATTTAATGATTTTCTTTTTTTCCTCTTCAGTAGTCAAAGGTAAACTGCTGCTAGCAATGTTATTGGACCTGGATTTCCTTTTTTTTTAACTACTTCTTTTTTCTTTTTTTTTTTTTTTTGTTCCTCTTAAAAGCTTTACCATTCAAAGACATGAAGTTTTAGAGAGCTTTTGGATCTAATTCACAGATGGTGCATAGTTCCCAAGTGCATCCTTTATGATAAGGAATCAGTGGTTTCTTTGACAGTATTTTCTCAATAAACAGGTTCAATTGATTCTCTGTGGCTGCTGCCTGAGCTCAGCAACTACTTCCTGGAGATGAGGAAGAAGAAAACATGTAATTGAGGAGCTGGGTACTTTGTGACATCTGTTTGTCCAGAGATAGTAAGTTTCTTGGAAAGCCTCATATCTTGCCAGGTCATATAATTGTGTAGCTCTTCTGAGTGATTCATGAAGTTCTTAATGTGTCTTTAGCTCTCAAAACAAGAATCATAATATTTCTCCAACTTTTTTTTCTGTGGATGTACAGCATCTGTGCCCTCTGTTAGTCTCTCTCCTTGGGGATAATTCCATCAGGCCTCTGGGACAAACTCCAATTGTGTTGTAATATTTAATTCCAAAACATCAAAACCAGCCTCTGTATCACACGAACTTTCTGTCCTTGGCATCCCTCTGGAGCCTGCCCTGTTCTCATGATGGTCATCTCTGCAGGGCAGCTGGAGCACTAGTTCTCAGTTCCTATTTTTGCAGTGCCATGGGAGCAGGAGCTAGACCTGATGGGTGAGAGGGATCACTTGCCAAGCACAGACACACTCCAAAGCAGAGTCTCAATGGGCAGGCAGTCACTCCGCAAGCTATCACAAAATGCAATTTACAGTAGAAGTTATTTTTTCATAGCTCTGCTGAAGAAATAAAGCTCAAGGCGATGTTTAATCTGTCAAATACTTAGTGGAGGGCCACTAGTTCATGTTTATGTTATACTCTGGCAGTGCCCAGATATAGAGAAAAGGCATTGACTCGAGCAGAGGTGGGAAGGGGATGGTGTCCCCAGGGACTGTCCCCTTCTGCTGTGTGTTACCAAAGCACTAAAGTGGAGTGTTTTCAGGTTTTAGTGCAAATGAAAGGCCCTACCAAAATGGCTTGACAGCAGGATTGTCACTGCCCAGTCAGGAGCTCTTTTTTTGGAAGCTATTGGCAGTGCCTAGTCCCAAGAGGCAGCTCAGCCATAAAGGCAATGGAGCAACTTGAGGAAAACTCTGGTTTTAGTTTCCTTATGGTACTGACCCCGCAGTGCAGGTAAATGCTTTGGGTGGCTGGAGTCGGTAGGACCATGCTGTGTTTTTGTAACTGGTCTTTCTGGGATGGTGCAGTTCTGTTGTCAGCTGTAGCTCAGACTGGGTATACTGCAGTATACCCTGTTACAGTGGCATTATGCTCTTACACTCACTCTGCTCTCTGTATCTTGCTTTTCCGTCTGTTTTTCATTAGGCAGCTAAGTGTTTCTCCATGGCTTGCAACCATGTTCACAACATGAGGAAATTCCACTTTTAAGTTTTGCGGCCAATCTGATATCTGTATTTTATAATTCCCTCTTTTTATTGTCTCCTACTTTCAAATGTCATTGGAAACAGCCTTTAGTGCTTCTTTCCGTACCCCGCCCTTATAAAAGATCTCCCATTAAATTTTGTGTCAGTTCAATGGCAGAAAGGAATGTGGCTTTTCCTTAGCCATGTGCTATAAACATTTGCTTTATGTGCCTGCTGCAGTTCACCTCCTTGGCCAACCTGTGCTTTCTTTGGCTTTCCAGTTACTTAAATGAGTGTGGTTTGGGGACCTTGTGCTGCCCCACGCTGGTTAATGTCATGGTGAATTACACTGTGCACTACCAGTGACAGCTCTGAGAGCCATCCTGGAGGTGCTGTTTGTCAGATGCTGTGGTGATGTGTCTGAGGAAGGGGCTGGCACTTGACAGAACCTCCATCTCTACCTCCAGCACAAATACTTTGGAGCTGCAGAGCTCTCCGCAGCAGACTGTGGCAGTGTCAGCTCCTGCCTGCTTCTGGGGATGTCTTTGCTACTGGACTAAACATTTCTTCATAGCATTCCTTGTAAGGAATTCAGCTTTTTAGGGAAAAGACCCATTTTTTAGGTTCTTTGAATGATGAGTGCATTTCTTTGGTTATATCACACCACTGTTGCCTGCCTTCCTGCCTTCCATCCTTCCTTTCCTTTTTTTTTTCTCCTTCCCCCCTGCCCCGGCCTTTTATCTTCACTCTAGCTAAAGAAGTTTAGTGAGAAATTCGTATCAACTGCATAATAATACTTACAAGCTGAGAGCATTAGAAAGCTCCTTCCCCTCTACTGACCCCGGTACTTTCACGAGCCCCTGCACCCACAGTGCAGTGCTGCCTCTGAGCTATGGAAGGGGTGATCCAACCTTGACGTGCACAGTGTCAGCTTCTCCCTGCTCAGTCTCTGGGTGCAGCAGCCATTACAGTTTACTGGACACCATTATGTGCAAAGCAACTTGAAGTGCTCCAGCTTTCCCTAGACTTGCAGTTTCGAGAGCAATCTTGAAAGTTCCTATGCAGTTTTGTTTGATCTTGGAGAGAGATGAATGCTGTTCGTATGGGTTTTCTTCCCCTAACGAATGGTTCATTGATCCATGCTGGAAACAGTCAGCCTTGTTGACTACAGGGAGCAGAGTACAGATGGGGAGCTGTGTTTCCTTTCCTCTGTAAGCTGAATGGCATTGATTGCCTTAGAACCAATACATTTTCATTAGGCTCATTTTATTTCTCAGATTTATTTCTCAGATTTTCATAGTTCACAGTGTTTATGAAAGGGAGAAATTAATGGCCCTTGTTAAATAGCGCAGAGAAGAACTGGGAAAGCTTCCCAGGGCTTTGGTCTGATCCTTACTTTCCTGAATCATATCCTTGGGCTTTTGCATGGCTTGTTGTAGCAAAGGCTGGTGTTGCTCATAGAGCCTGAGGGGCTGCTGCGCTCCCTCACTGTGTCATCCCCTGCTCCTGTGTGGGCTGGGGTGGAGAAGGTCTTCAGGGGACAGAAATACATGAATTGTCCCCTTCCAGGCACAGTTCAGACACTAATGATAAACATCCCGGGGGCACAAGGACGTGTGTGCTGTTGCCACAAAGTGGTCTTGGAGGGGATGCCAAGGCAGTGCTGCCCTTCCCTGCTCTGATGCCACACTCTGCAGTGCATGAAGCTGCCAGGCTTGAGATTAAAGGGTGCCAGTGCTCCCAGCTAGAGTGGAGGGGCTGCCTGGGTCCTGGCCTGTCATGTGTGGGGCTCTGTACTGTCCTAAGGGGCAGGAGACTCTAAAGTTGCAGAGAGAGCAGGGGCTGGCCAGGGTCTGTCTATGGGGCTCTCTGAGAGCCTGACTTTGGTAAGGGTCTTGTGAGGATTGAAAGTTGGGGAAAACAAAACAAATCCAACAAGGAAATGCCAGTGTCCATGAGCAGGAGGCCCTGCCTGGCTGCTGCACACTGTGCTCAGGTGTGGCTGCTGCAGGGTGAGTGAGTCCTCGGTCCTACCCCATGGCAACCCCTGCCTGCCTCAATTTCTTTCCTGTTGCATTTCACTCACCATCTGTCAGCAGCAGTGTCCTCAGCAGCCCTTCACCATCCCACCTCTTGCACTCGGCAGCCCCAGAGGGAATCCAGTACCTCATACAGCACCCAGGCAATGTGGCTGCTGCCATGGAGGGGTGCGATGTCAGTGAGCACTGCTTGGATCTTCCCCCTCTGCCCTCCAGCTTTGCAGCCGAGCAGAGGCTTAAAACCAGAAAACAAAACAAAGCTGTCAGAAAACCTGGTATTTGTGTTGTTTCCCTGAAGGCAGAGTGCCATAGCAGGCAACTGGGCAGCAGCAGTCGCTTTAGAGATCTGGATAGATGCTGTTTCTCTTGGAGGGGTCTGGATTTTATTATGTACTTCTTATTCTGCAGGTTTGCTGGTCTAGATATATTTACTACATGGTTTCTTGGCTAATTATTTCTAGCGTGGCACTGATTGAGCTGTTAATAAAGTGTGAAGGTGCCTCGCAGGCACTTTTTGAGTCTTAAAGAAATTATCTACATCTAAATTGCAAATAGTAAAATTTCCTTACCCACCAATATTAAGGTGATAGCATCTCCACTATTGTAAAATTAATCAAACTTCTCTTACTGACAGAAACGTTAATTTAAATTTTTCGTCACAATTACAGAGAGAGTTATTGCAGCCTCTGACTTGTAATTAATTTCTCTTTCTTTTCATCACTGTGTTACAGCCCTTTGTAATAGTGATAAATGGAGTATCTACCTGACCTTTTTTTTTATATATATAATATAAATTGCTTTTAGGTTTAAATAAAAATACTTCTGGTTAATCAGTGCTTTTCCATAAACAGGAGGATAGGAGAGAATGATTTGGGGTTGTTTCACATAAGCATCACTGCAGTTAAGATGATATGCAGCAAGGGACAAGAGGCAGGAGTAGCAGGGACCAAATACACTGTCCCTGTGTTGTGTGTTGTCCCAGTGCAACCACACGTGCAGGAAATGGACAATTAGGAGAGATTTGCTGCTGCCAAGGAAGGCTTTAAAATAGGATTGACAGAGAATAGCAGTGCATCAAACCACTGGCAGGAGCAAGAACTGGGAGAGGTTGAGGCATAATTGTCACAAGGAGAAAATTAATGGGACAGTCAGTCAAATGTTTAAGGTATGTCAGCACAAGGAATAAAAGGGAGGAACTTCATATCTCATTTGTAATCAATGTTATAATTTAAATGCCATAGCAGAGGCTTGGTAGAAAATGGCTGTGGCTGCAGTGCTGATAGAAGAGTGTACAGCTTGTACAGGGAGGACTTGTCTATGGGGGAGAGGCCAATGCTCAGACTGAGGTCATGGTATGTCTGCTGCAGGGATCCTGGATCCTGCTGTGGGTTGTTGGGAACAGGCAGTCTGTCAGAAACAGTCAGCTATGGATCACCAAAGAAATGGGGGTGCATGAGGCTTCTGCTGAGCATCTGGCAGATTAGATCCGATCCCTGGTTGTGCAAGGTAGGATTTGGAAAGAAAGACACAGCAGGACATGATACCACGCAGCTTCACAGCTGGCTGGGCAAGAACAGATTTGAAGAAACAGGGATATGGTGGCAGAATGGGAAAAGATGAAAAGCGATGCAGGTGATGGTTGTGAAAGGAAAGGTCATAATTCAAACCATGATTCAATGTGCTTTAAGATTGACATAAAAGGTCAATGGGACAGTAAGAAAGACCAGTAGTGCTGGGCCCCTGAGCTTGCCCAGAGCCGTGGGGAGAAAACATCTCCCCTTTGCTCTCTGAAGCAGCAGCAAACACTATAGATGTCCAAATTTCTGCAGCTTTTAGGCCACTGGTGCAACCTGGATGTTCCCAGCTCTTGGAGCATTTTGAGAAGAGGCTAGAGCAGTTTTCGGGGCCTATTAGCAGTTACCTTCAAGAATATGAGGAAGTCTGAGGAGGTTCTAGAAAAGATGCAGGTAGAATGTGCCTCTGAAAGAGAGGGAAAAGAACTGGGCAAGCCTGGATTGGTCTGTTTGAATTCACTGTGGGGCAAATGATCCAGTGGTCTGTCCATATGCACTTGGAGCATCTCAGGTGATAAAGAACAGCCAGCACAATTGTCAGGGACACATCATGTCAGCTTCACCTAGTTTCCCTCTATGATAGCATGACAGGGCAGAAGGAGGGGTGTCAGACAGCTTGACTGGGGTGCAGCTTTTTGTGACATCTCGTGTCTGTTGCCGGAGCAGTTGAAGGAAATGGATTCTCTAAGACAGGTTGTGAGTGACTGGCAAATTTAATGTGCGGGGAGAGGTTATCAGTGTTTTGCTGTAAAACTGGAGAGGGCTTTAGGTGAGGTACCTTATGGTGCCTATCAGAGGTCTGGAACTATTCACTTGTGACTTTGCCAGTGGAATTAAGAGTCTACAGCCAGGGCCTGGAGATGACACCAACTTGAGAAAGGTGGCATCACCTTGGAGATCAGCATTAGAATTCAGTGGAACTGTGGAAAATTGGAGAAATTATTAGAAAGCAGTTCAGTAAAAAATAAAATTAAACATATATATATATGTCTATACATACACCACACCTGGCTTTAAGTTTTCAGTAGCAGAGGCAGAAGCTGAAAGTATTGGACTAAGAAGGGCAGGAAAGGATGTGAAGGCTTATCAGGGATCAGAAAGTGAATGGGTGAACAACTGCATGTTCTTTTAGAAAAGCCAAACCAGATAACCCAAGGTGTTGTATGGGCAAGGGGCAGGTGCCTGTTGCTTGCCCACACTGGCAGAGCAAAGGTTTGAGCAGTGTCTTGTTTGGGGGGTGCTGTGGGGAAGATGAAGAGCTGGAGGGATCTGAAGGACAGCTGTAGGAGCTTCACAGGGTGGGTCGGCATTTCCATGTGGAAAGGCTGGGGGAGATGGACTTTTTAATTTGAGGTAGTGGGAATCAGAGTGGGATGAGGTGGAAGCTTGGAAACTCTTCAATTTATTGCAGCAAGAGAGAAAGTAAGTGAACTATTCCCAAATCCTGGTGTGCCTTGGAAAAGGGAGGTCGAATGTTCAAATGGTTTTGTTAGAGGCTTATCCAGGGATATGGTAAACTGTTTTAGTAAAATCACTTGGGTATCATATGTCACAAGTGGCTGTGTGTCCAGCAGTTGATAACATTAATCCCTAATTACAGGCTATCTTATCTGAATTACTTTATGACATTCAGTGATCTGTGTTACAGGAGAGAATAGAATAAATTATGAGAATACTGCCTCAGGCTGTACAATCTCATAGATCAGTAAATATCAAATTCTGTGTATATCTTTGATAAGCATCCACTTTTTTTGATGCTTGTTTCCTTCTGGGTTAAGTTTCCCACCTGCAAAATTTGTGTGTCTGTGTTGCGGTCTTTGGGTTTCAACCAGACAAGTCTCCCGTTGGAGGCATTTGGACACCAACCAATTTGCCAGGCAAACTACATTTTTCACTCAAATGTAGTTAATGACCCAAACAAAATGAAATGCTTGTTACAGGTTGATTTAAACAATGTGGTCTAATGACAATGTTCTCTCCTTTCTGCCCACTCTCAATTACAATTCCACTTTATTTCAACTAGGCAAAAAGGAAACGAGCTTTTTAAACAAGGCTCAGAAACGTGTCTGTTGGCTGGAGGGAAGAGGAGGGGGACCCATTTAGCTGGAGATTTTTACTTTGAAATTTCCTGACAAAAATTAATTAGAAGAATCATGTAATTACAATAAATGTATCTCATTGGTCCCCAGTGGCTTGTTTCTAAACACTGAAGGATTATTTAGGCATTCGTGACAGCAACAAAAAGTAACAAATAAATGTAATGGGTTCTTTTTATATACAATAAAAATGACATAGAGTAGCTGCATGTTTTACTAATTTTGCTACAGGATCTTAAAGAGGTGGATATGGTTGTGCAATTTTGATTTTTGCTGTGGATGCAGAGGCTAGGACTGTACTTGCAAGGCCTGAGATGTTGACTGGTGTTCCTGCTTGTGTTCCACCAGATACCTGGGAAGAGAAATATCCCAGTACCCAGAAATGTGGCTATCTCCACTTGCTGTGTTGCCCAAATTGCATGTTCCTCCCATGAAATGGGAGATGTAAATATTCCTGAAAGCCAGAGAAAGGCTGGTAAATAACTCGAGAGGCTGTATGGAGCAGCCAGTGCCAGCCAAGGATAAAGCTCCATTGCCTGTGGTGGGACCACAAGAAGAGGTGGGTGCTTCTTTCACTGCCTGGTGTTCTACATTGACACAACTGCTCTGTTCCTCTGCTGTCTTTAAAGTGGCTTTTTGAGCATGCATTTGGGGTGCCTTAGGTTCTGCCATGGCACAGGTTTCTGCTCCCTCAAATCCAGTTAATGCCAAGACCTCTACTGGATCCTCCAGGGGAGGAATTGCAGATTGGAGGAAATGCTGTAAAAGCTGCTATATATCCTTCCCCTTCCCACCAGTAGTGCAGCCAGGGCAGCATTTTGGGTGATGTAAGGCAGTGGTGTGTGTACAGCTGCTCCCTGCCTTCCCTGGCCAGGCCCAGCTGGACTTGCCTCCACTGTGCCGAGAGCAGGGCTGGAAAACCACAGTGGTGTGAAGGCAGAGAGGTTTCACTGCAACTGAAGCTGAGCTCAGTGGCGGTTGTGGAACATGGTGGCTTGATTTTCATCATGCCTGTGATGAACTCTGTTGCTGTGTCAAAAGGGTTAAACCCTTCCTGGGGCACTTCTACCCCAAAGCTCAGTGAGGCAGGAGTAGTGCACATGTGGAGTTGGAGAAGGATTGGGATTGATCCACCTCCTCTGCTTCTCTCTGCTTGTTATAGGGCTTACACCTGCACAAACCTGAGAATTGTGATGTGATTTCATCTCCTAAATGCCTCAAGTTCAGGTCTTTTCTTATTTCTGTTTCATTGTGTCTCCAGGGTAAGTGAAGCTTGAAGGGAGAATCTCATTAATAATCATACAAATTGGTTAAACCAGTTATAAACATTTACATAAGGTGGACATGTGCCATCTTAATATGCTTACCAGTCCCCCTTCCCCTTCTAAATTATGTTGCTTACAGGGCAGAGGTCTCTCTAGCATGGAGTGAAGCTGGGTTACGTGTTTGATATGGCATGCTACTTTTTTTTACTTATTATTATTTTGCATAACTGTCCTGTTATACTGAACATAGCATAGTCAGATAAGTATGTAACTTAATTTTGGCTTGGATTCATCAAGTTGAGCTAGGTGGAAAGACTCATGATCTGAACATGCCTCTTCTTTTGTTGTTTTCTATAGAAAAGGAACCTATATAGCAAAGCTGGCCTGGCTGTGGGATGTTGGTAAGGTGAGCTGAATCCCACTCTGTGTTTGGATCTTAAAGGTTGTACATAAGAGCCGTTGGTGGAGACATATGAACACAGTAAATCTTTTTACCGCATGTACCAACCATAAAGAGAAGTGATCTTCAAATGACATCATCAACACAAAGGGCACTAGGAGAAGTTCCAATTTATGACACAATAAATCAGCAAGTAGTCTAGTAATGGACATTGAGCCTAGACAGTTTTGCAAAGTGAGTTCCCATATAAAATGGTATTGTGCATTGAAATGTGGGCTCCAAACCTGCTTAGCTAGTACCACTTAAGCTGCTTTAGTGAGACCATTTTGGATTTCCACAGTCGACCAATCTTCCCAAATTGCTCAGTGTCTAATGTAATCCCAGATGTATTTACCATACTTCATTGTATTTATAGAGGTGACTAGGCCATGAAGACATGGCTTATTTCCAGGGACAAGAAGTCCAGGTTCTTCAGTGCATTTCCTTCCCCTGAAAGCAATGCTGTGGCGCTCTCGGAGTTTGCGGTTGCACACATTTGTCTTTGCTCAGTGACGATGGTTGATCATTAGCAAAATGTATTTCAGTATTTATGGTTACAGGCATATTGACCTTAATGCTCCATACAGCAGTGATGGGATCACAGCCAGCCACCATGGGGGGAGGTGCACAGCTTTTCTGAGCAAAGAAAATGCCTCCAAGGCATGGCAGCTGTGAAGGGCAGTATGTAAAAGGAGTAAGTCCTTGGTTCAAGTATGATAAACTGGCTACTACAGCCTTGTTCCTTTTCCTTTCACTGGTTCTTGTCCTCATTTAGCACACAGGCACTGTTAAACCACATGCTTCTCTGGAGCTTTTCTGTAGAGCTGCCCTGCAGTAAAGGGATTACACTAATCGGTACCAGTGTGAGGATGTGGCCCACAGACATGTTTACTGGTGATGCTGCCAGAACTTGTGCTTCAGAGATGTTCTTCTCCAGCACAGTAGTGTCCAACTGTATGTAGTTTTGTCACTTCACTGCCAGTGTATGTACATTTGCAATGCATGTTGCTTTATTCTCAGAAGTGCCTAAAGTTAGGTTAGGTTTGCAAGACAAATGTACGATGTCCTGAAGCATAATTTATGTTTTGCTATAGGTTTAGTGTGATTTCTGGCAGCAGAAGGGTCTGATCAAAGCCAGGCAAAAGGCATGTTTTTCTGTTGAGCAACATGACAGTCTTGTGACATAATGAATTACACATAGCTGGTTTTTCTCTGGCTTAGGAATTTTGTTTCATTATTACCGTAGCTGTGCAATTTCTTAATATTCTTGAATCTGGACTCTGCTTACAGGCATATCAGATTGTTTATATGCTAGAGTGAAATATGATATGGAGAAGAGCATAGAATGTGCTTTATTTGTGGGTAACTGCTTATGTAATGGTGTACAAAGACTCAGGAGCTGGTACTTAGCTGCAATGTCTCTTCTGCTTCCTCATTCATCACCAAGGTAATGTGTAGGGATCGTTTGTAAACCTTCTCTCCTACACTGCTTCTCTTCTCCACCTCACCTTCCTAAGCTAACAGCCTTTTAGACAGTTGACAGTGGTAATTAAATAAAATAGACTTCAAGGGGATGGCTGACAGGCCTTGTGTTCAGCTGTATAGTGTTAACAAGGCTGGGCCTTTGGGCTTGGAACTACGAACTCCTAGAGAATTTGTGGGATGTGCTGCACCCCCATTGACTTCAGAAGAAATTGAGAAGGCATTTAGTGTAGGAAAGGGCTGGGGGGACTGCTTCTCCTGGCCTGCACTGGGATGAAATGGAGGGTCTTGGGAGGGAAATCTCAGAGGACGGGAGCACCTGTACTTACTCCCCAAATGGGACACAGGAGTTAGGGGTATACAGGGGACAGATTTAAGATCTTACTCTCTGCCTCAAGTTAAGGCCTCAGATGTCAGTTTTTTACATGCTGAGGCTGGATTACTCAAAAGTAGAATATTAGGCTTATGGAAAAAAGGCTGAGCTGAAAGTGTCGCTTACCTATGATGAAATTGGTGTGTATGATTATGTATAGGCATGTATGATTATGTATATGTATGTGTTATGAAATACCTTGTCAGAAAATGTAAGTTGGTCTGTTTTGTTAGTGTGTTAGTACTGATCACTTCTGACTCTCCACCTTCTTAATGAAGAGCGTGAGGAGCAATGACTTAACTCTTTGGGTGCTTCCACTGGTCAGTCACATTCCCTAATTGTATGTCTAATTGTATGAAATGCCAATTCCTAATTGCCAATTTTTTAAGTGTTCTTTTATTGATGCAATTGCATCTTGCTTTACCTTAAGATTTTACTACATCTTCACCAAGAGTGATGAGAAACTCCCTTTTGTGTTTTGTTAGTGCTTCTGTCCACCTCCTATAAGTGATGTATATCTTAATATATTAAAATACAGTGCAGTTTATTGCCAAATCCAATGTGCCTACAGATTTCCATTTAGGTAATCGGGTATGCCCAGCTTGGCTGCTTATAGGTGGAGCACTTGACTGTTCCTTCTGCTATGAGCTCAGTCTGGGTTAGATTTCTCTGGAGAGCAACTTTATGATTTAATAGCTGGTCTGCAGTTCCGTGAATTGCATCCAGGGAATTGTTCAAGATGGATAATAACACAAATGGGTTACTTGGGCTAACTCAAGCCATTCCCTTGAGCATACTAGGTCAATTTTCTAATGGATCAAAGTGGGTGTGTCTTGGAAAACTGCTGGCACACACGTACGTACACTCCCGTGCTGTATCATGTAGATTAAGACAATTCTAAATTCTGTTCTATTTAAGTCTGTTCATATTTCATACCTATTTGAGACTTTTGAAACTGAATGAAGCATTGGAGATTGTGCTAAACAGAGTGACCTGGGACTGGTGAGAGAGTGGTCTAAATGTTCCCTTCCTATCTTTTCTATGTTGTGAAATTTAAATGCTAGGGATACTGGTGAAGCAGTTCTTAGGTTGAATTTGAAACCTTTTCTGCCCTCCAGCCTGGTTCATACCAAGCAATGAAAATGCATGCAGTCAGATATCTGGATATTTACCTTAATCCCTTCTTCTTTGGGATCCTTTTCCTCCACTTGATGAATCAAAGTTGGGGAAGAGCCATAGCATGAATCCATAGTTTGCTACTAAATGAGGCTAAAGCAAAACTTCTCCTTATTGAATACTTTGGCAATTTTTTCATGCCTACTAAGTGCATCTTGCTTGTGTAAGTTCAGACATGTCCCTGAAACCTGTAGACACTGACATCTAGAGATGGAGCAGAGTCAAAACCTACAGAGGGACGTTGGTTTTACATGTTCATCCATTTAAGTGCACAAGAATCTGGTGGGTGTTGTGTGCCTAAACCTCTGTAGGTGAAAGGAAAGGGAGGCATTACCTGGAAAGGCATGAGCTGGAGCTTGCTCTTTGCGTGTTAGGGCAGCAGTTCTGAAGTCGTTTCATCTGACAGTCCTCACCATCTGCTCTTCAATAACCGGACATGTTATGCCTGATGTTCTGCTGGTACTCAGTAGAACAGCAGACCTGGCACATTGATCTGTTGTCATTGATATTGTACAATTGTGCAAGGGGTGTGTGGTTTCCTTGAGAGATACCAAGAGAGATTTTATCAGGATGCAGACTGTTGATGTAATGAAACTTTCCCATGGTAGACACTCAGCGATTGCCTTTCCTGTGCAGTCAGTAGACATTACTGGATTTTATTGCATGAGAATGAAGTTGCTTTCCTTTTTTGTATTGCGTAATAGGAAAGCTGGAAGGGATAGACTCCACTTGGAACTTTATTTCTGATTAATTACAATGTAGGAGAAGGAGATGTAAAAAGTTGTTATTATGGCGTCTCAGTTAAACCTAAATTCGTAATTTTAATTTTTTTTTTGGCTTTTGGTACTGCATTTTCTCAATTTGTTTTTTTTGGTGATTTTTTTTTAATATGAAAAACTTGTCAAATTAATGTGAGGGTTTTTGTTTGCAGTGCTGGGATTTTTTTGTCAGGTGACACAGGGGCTTATTAATGAGTGTGATAAAAAGTTAAAGTTGCTTATGTTTGTGGCCAAAATCTGCAGTTTTACATGTAAAGTTGTTTGTGAGAATGAGTGTAGGTCTTTAGCCAAGTACGCTGCTCCTTTGTCCAGGTTTGGATTGTCATGCAGACCCTTCACTTACCACTTGACATCAAAGACAGGATAAGCCATAAAAAGATACCCAATCTCTGGCTATTTTGGTGTAAAGGGATGATACCTCTCAAAGTCTATTCCTCCTCAAGAAGCCAAGTATCAAAGGAAGTTGATAAAGTTGCTGGTGAACGCTTCCTAGTCTTTTGGTGTAATCATTGAGATGGGGGCGATAGAAAGGGGCACTTATGTTTCAAGTGAAGTCCGGGGATGGAAGAGTGTCCTGGGTTGATTTCTGTGCGACTTCAGGAGTGTTGAGTGGAGCTGGCTTACGTGTTTGATATGGCATGCTACTTTTTTTTTTACTTATTATTATTTTGCATAACTAGTTTAGTTGACAGCCTACTGGTTTTGCTCCTTTGATCTCTGCTCACTTTGACTGTATTTTCAATAACTACTTAGTATAAAAATAAAATGTGCAGGCCACATCAAATAAACTAATTAAAGATTAGAATGAAAAAGTGTCAAAATCCGAGACCTCGCTGAGGCAGATTAGTCACTGCATACGAGACACGATCTAATAACTAATGGGTTGCTGTAGTAACGGGGGAATCGATACCCCTCGGCTGGTTGGGGAGCTGACAGTAATTTCTGCTGGGTCATATATTCTGGAAAACGAAGTGCCTCCTACTACAGCACAAGTAATCTCTGTGGGCTTTTTGACAACAGAGCATCTTACAAAGTTTATATCAAAGAAAATATTAATCTCTCAAGTTTTCTTGTTTACCTCTGCAGGGGTTATCTGATATTGTAACAGCCACAGACAATTAAGTTTAGTCTCCTATGTGGGCTCTTGGTGGGTTAGCTCTGGAAAGAAGTCTTTGGTTTTGGTTCCTAACTGATGGGTTTGTAGGATGTGCCAGTACCAGGATGTCCAGTCTGCTGTGCCAAATCACCTCCTCTTACTTGAGGAACTCCTACTGAAGTCAAGAGGAGTTCAGCTTGAGTAGAGAGGAGGAGATACACTTGGGTACTTAAAAGAAAAAGGTTATTTGTAACTGAGCTGTAAATCCAGGCTTGCTGTACGCTGTGTGTGTTTGTGCCTCAGTACCCAGAATTTCCAAGAGAATCGTTATCCTTCCTTGATTTCTCTGAACTGATTGCAAACTGTCTGGGATGGGATCACTCTTACCTGTCTGAGCAGCACCTAGAGCAGTGTCAGCTGTGTACTCTGACTGCTGATGGGTGGCAGAATGGGACTTGACTGTAGACTGGAACAGGCACCACAGCTCTTCATCCAGGACTGGGAACTACAACTACCCAGTGCAGAAATTTGAGAAGGAAAGCAGCAAATGGAGGGGACTGCAGCACATATTTCCCAGCTGCAGGCAGGGAGAGGAGAGCCCTGTGAAGCATAAGGAGTTAATGTTAGCAAAAGAGCTATGGGGAGGATAATAAGGACTTCTTCCAAACATTTCAGAGGTATGGTAGTGCTGGAGAGAAAGTAGGCCACTCCCTAATGATGGGAGTGGTGGTGTTAA